TGTCTCTATAATATGTGTTGCAATAGAGGAGATACATCGCCTGTTCCCACCATTAATGGGTTCTGAAGATTCTATTTGCATCTGCAGCCATTTAGGAATATGCTCGAAAGTGAAAGAATCTTATACAAATTAAGGAAAGATGAGATGAAGGATGAAGAGTTTAGATATAATCAAGGATACTCGTGATAAATATGGATAGAATAGTGTGACAGAACAGTGAGCTCCAAGTGAACTCACTTACTTAGGAACAGACCAGTCATCTACAAAACTAACAGCTACACACTTATCATGTCTGCAGTGTATCCTGATACTATCCAGTTTCTCAGATAAAAGTAAGTGGAACAAGACTCAGACTCACCGGCTGAAAATCGAAAGCTTCACTCGATGACCCACAATTCCAGAAGTGAATAATGATTAAGGGTGATATGGAAGACAAGTTCAGCGTCTGATGCAGACATAGAAGGAGTCATATGAGGACATAAGAGCTTATAGACAATCGTTGAGTTAGTTGAAGACGACTGCAGAGAACACAAGATGAAATGGAGATGTGCCTCAATTGAAGCTCTATGTTCCACTCAGAAACCCAAGGCTATAATAACATTTTTACGAGTTGATAACGGATTGATATCAGTTAGAGAATCATTGAAAGACAACAGGGAGTACTGGACAGCTGTTTTCTCCATCCTAGTTTGGGAATCATCAGCAGTACATGTAACAATAGAAGAGAATGGCCGGCAACAGATCGTTTTTATTACGGAAATCAGCACGTATTTATATATATCATGTACATTATCACAACTTATTCAAGCGAACAAACACAGTCTTCTGATTGGTTGTTCCGGGTTTCTCGGAAAGTTAAGCCATCTATCTGCGAATCTTATTTGCCCGCGTTAAGTCTGCTGTGATTGGTTGTTGAGTCAGCCTTGTTCATATTTTCTCACGGCCAATATTAGTGACCCAGACATTGACGTAAATTAATGCCCTAACAATTGGCTAGCAGCCTGCTCTCACCACATACACACCCACCTCCTGGGTTCCAAAACAGGACCTTACGGTTACAAGGCAACCTAGCTCATATACCATTCAGCCACTGGAACTCGACTCAATGGCAAATGCATGAATTCTAACTTCTGTCAATTCGTGGTACATTTAGCCCGACCCCAACCATTGTCATAGGTGGGACATCCATCCTCACACGTGACATCTGGATGGACCTCACTGGTCACGACTTCTCACTAGAACTCCAGAAAACTCTGTCCTGCAGCAAGTCACTAGCAAGCATCAGATTAATTTTCTATAGTTTAGTTTGTAAGGGTTAGTTTTGTTTTTACGACTAGATCACCGGAAGGTCCTGGTTTCGAACCCTGATGGTGGGTGTGTTCTGCCGATGATTCCCAAACTAGGATGGAGGAAACAGCTGTCCAGTACTGCCTGGCTGGTTTTCAATCCTTCTCTGACTGATATCGATCCGTGATCAACTCGTAAAAAAAAACATAACTAACCATTACAAACCAAACTATAGAAAATATAATAATATTATTAATATTGAGCAATAAGGCATGCTGACAGAAACAGAGATCAATGAATCAAGATAAGCAGGGATGGATAATAGTCTATCAATCTTCTTCTTACCAACGAAGATTGAATGTAACAAACCATCTGGTGGGTATGCGCGGCGTAAGCTACTGATAAAATTCATCAGTAGTATATAAAGAAAAAGTCATCGGCATAAAAGACACTAAATATCAGGGAGATAGATTTGATGTTAGAGAAAGCAAATGATACAGCATTACGGAGATATATAGGAAACGTAAAAGGAGCACAAAGAAACACACACACACACACAATATGAGGGACAGAGGTACCACAACAATCAAGATCTGCGCATATGGTGCGTGCGTTGAAGATCAGGTATACATAATTCTCCTATAAAAAGATACCAAACTCCATATAAACATTCCTTTACCAAGTGTTTCGTCTTCTACCATCAAAGATGGTGACAGCCAGTGGTGTCCACCGGGAAACAGATTTCGTACTCTGATGAGGACACGTGAACTAGTGATGGTATCCGCACTGAGATTCAAGCCCAATAAGCACCGTTTCGAACACCAAAGCTTTATCCACTACAAAAACGCCAGAGAGGTGACCTTTCTCAAATTCCTCCCGTTGTCGTAGTTGTTGTTGTTGGTGGTGATGGTGAGTGGGTACCTTCATCACCTCTGTTTTCTCTGCCTGCCTCGTCCTCAGGCAGATCTCCTCGAGTATATATGACATTGGACATAAATCATCCGTGAAGTCGAGCTCTTCCTGCGTCTTCTTATCGATCCAGCGTACTCCCGTCTTCTCACCCACCCAGTCCCCCACCTCACGCTACATGCAATCTGGAGCATAATGCAGTTTACAACAACCAATAATATCCACGTCAATAGTAGACAGAGCCCTATCTTACTCCTCTCTTCACTTCGGAAGCCTAATTAGCTGAGTTTTTGTCATTTGGAACTGTTGAATGGGGTTGATAAAAGTTTGAGAAAGACGCCATGTTAATTATGTTTACATCAAAATAAAGGGGGAACATATAGTAAAGTGAACTATGAGTTCATTTCATTTTATTCTCTTTATTGTAGAACTCCCATTTACAGTTACAGTCTAATTTAAAATATCCGTGTCATCATCAAATACAAATCATCATTATTTGATGATGATGATGATAGTTCATTTGTAAAAATCGTTACTGAATGGATATACAAACAAGGATTGACAAAGTTCATGACCCCTCAACTAAATTAATTACTTCGTCAATAGAGGAACACATGTATACAAAGTTAGTTCTTTTTTTGTATGATGTTAAGATGACAATTCATTACTGTATTTCCATCATGAGCTGACATCATCGGGTTAGAGAAGTGTTGAAAAACCAACAGCGAATAATGGACAGCGCGTTTCGTCCTTTTAGCTTGGAACTCTGCAGGACGGGGTACGCACCCACCGTGGTCCGGATCCAGGACCTTCCAGTTGTACGGCTAGTTCGTAAACCGTTAAGCTACTGAGATTTTATTTAATGACCAGTCCATGAATTTCAACTTCCGCTAATTCATGGTATACTCCGACCACTGGCCTATGTCCTCACAGCCGACTTGGTGTATGCCACTGGTCACGACTTCCCACTAAAACTGAAAACTACCAAACTAGGCTGGGAAAACAATTGTACAGTGATCCCAGCTGGTTTTCCAATTGTTCTTTAACAGATGTGTCGGTTCATGATGAAATCCTATAACCAATCAATCAAATCCCTGGAAACCAATATCTGAATATCATGACTGTAATTTTGGTCGACAAAACAAAATGAAATGAACCATATGTGTGGTGACACATACATGTGTAGGACGCATAGATCACTTTATGTAAGTAAGGCCTCCAGGTACAGATTGAATCCACCGAACGAAATAATCCTGAAAATAGATGACTAAGCTCTAACACTACGAAATATATTATAGATATATGGTGTGATGTTGGCTGCTTAAACATCTTTTAATCGTATCTACAAAATATGTCGAGGGGTTCATACTAAAGTTTTGCCTTAAGCCCTTTATGTTCATTCAGAAACAATTGTTTATTACTGTTTTCAATTCAAAATGAACTTTCCCGTTGATCGATCAGACTGAGGTGTTCGGCGCATCTGGTGACATTTTGGCGGCTCCTTGTGTGTTGATGCTTCGTCGACGATATCTGAGGATTTAACCTAAAAAGTAATTTAGTGGATGGTGGCGACTAACAGTGTGGAATCCACCAAGATGTTCACTTCATCCTATTCAGGATTCATCAACTACTAGCTGGGTGTACCTGCATTTGCCTCCATTGAATGATGGTGTGTGTTCCCATCGTCTCCAATGCCAAAGCCAACAACAGGTTAACATACGCGGAACATTTCAATCCAACTAATCGACGGGATATTCTAAATTGAACTCAATGATAACTGTGATTCCCGTTACGCAAGAGGTGGTGGCACATGTTCAGCTCATGTGGTGATATGTCTAAACGCAGTTTGCTTAAACTTTAAATTCATTATTCTCAAATCAAGTGTTGGTTTGTAGGGATTTGATTGGTTACAGGATTTTCATCATGAGCTGGCATTAGTTGGAGAACCATTGGAAAACCTGGGAGTACTGGACAGCTGTTTCGTCCTAGTGTGACTCTTCATCAGTACGCACCCACCGGGACTCGAACCCAGGACCTTCTGGTTACAAGGCGAGCTGATGAAGAGTTCCAAACTAGGACGAAACAGCTGCCCAGTACTCCCAGGTTTTCCAATGGTTCTCCAACTAATGCCAGCTCATGATGAAAATTCTCAAATCAGTTTGGAAATCAACAACAATGTTGGTATGAGACTTTGTGCTTCATCAATAACATTTCTAACACACCTCGGACTTTTATCAACACCTGTCTTCACTGTATACGGGAAATCAGACAGACATACAGGCAGACAGAAAGCATTAACCCAAAGAAACTCTAGAAGCGAAACAACCAAGAACTTTAAGTTCTGGAATAGAATGGAGACCAGATCGGACACACACACACATTGAGGAGACCCCGTTGAGTGACATTACACGAAACCGCTTCAGGTAGAATTCGAATGAAAAACGATGAGTTGGACGTATGTTAGTAGGTGACATAGAGAAGAGATCACTTAACAGGGAGTTTTGAAGATAGTTGATGAATAGGACGACTGACTTCAGGGAAGAAAACAAAATGAAAATGTACTCTTTTGAAGCCCCATAGTGTTCCACACCAAGAAGGTAGTCAGGTTACACATTGTCCGAAAAAGAAAGATAATAACTTGCTTTATTTATAATACCAAATGGTATTAAAGAGAATGAAATTGGCTAGTCGTACGCATACTACTTATAATAGACTTGTCACAAGTAGTATATAAGCCGTAATATTGTTATCAAACAAACAAGGGACAATAACTAACTAACTAACGAATCATTAATATTACTTACCATGAAATGGAGTTGGCGACTTATTAATAAAGTTGATGAGACCTTCTACATGCGCAGACATATTATTACTATTATTAATATTACTATTAGGATAAGAGGAATGCAGTGGAAGTAGTAACTGATCTTTGGGTAGATTTTCACAATTCAATAACGACGTTGTTGCTGTTGATGATGACAGCGATGAATGATGATGATGATATGTTTTATTAATCGACTCTGAATCTTCTCTAGAATGAACTTGATAACTTGCACTATTTATAGGGTTATTACTACTATTCTGAAAGTTGACACTTTCACTTTTTGATCCTGTTGTCGAGACAGATGAATTTGACACAGTAGGCTGATGATGATGATGATGATGATGTGAAAAATGAGGATTTGAACAATTTAATGGATTTATGGATTGTTGTTGCTGTTGCTGTTGAGATGGTTGTTGATGTTGTTGACTTGGCTGGTGTTGCTGTTGCTGTAATAGATCCGATTCAAATGTTGATAATAAATCAATAGCTTTTGATCCTAATGAACTCCAGAATAAAGCGTTGGCTAATTGTCTCTACATAATACAAAATTAAAAAAAAAGAAAAACAAGTACAAATAAAGTAGCTGATAATTTCCAGGACTTTAACACTCTCGATGTTTTGAAATGTCTTAAAACACTTAAGTCCTCATGTAGTCTTGGCCCTGATGGTATACCTGCATATGTTCTAAAACAATGCTCTGATGCTTTATGTTCTCCTCTGAATAACATCCTAAATGTTTCTTTCTCCGAAAATGTTGTACCTATTCCATGGAAAGACGTCAGAATAGTCCCTGTCCCTAAACCAGGAAATAGCAAAAAAGTAAAGTTCAGACCCATTGTCATCACTTCCCCGTTTCTAAAGCTTACGGAAAAACTAGTACTTCTTAAACTTGAACCCTCCCTTAAAAGCTTTGAAGACCCCAAACAATTTGCCTACAGACAGGGTAGAAGTACTTTAGACGCTGCAGCCGTCTTACACAACAGTATCGTCTCATCATTAGATAAAGGTGCCAAATACGTCCGCTGCACGTTTCTCGACTTCACTTCTGCTTTCGACTCTGTACCTAGATGTCTCTTGCTAAATAAGCTCTCCATGACACAAATGGAGTCCTGGGTCACAAACTGGTTGCATTCCTACTTCTCAAACAGAATGCGGTGCGCTGTATACAAGGGTAAATCCTCCTCTGCTGTGCTCACTGAAGCTGGTGTCCCCCAAGGTGCTGTAATTTCCTCACTTCTCTTTTCTTTCTTCCTACATGACCTACCATCTTCAAATGATATTACTTTTGTCAAATATGCTGATGACCTAACTGTATCTTTGCCTGTCAAATGTCAAAGTGACTGCACTAAACTAAATGGCTTTTTATCAGAAATCAGCCAATGGTCTAAGGAAAACGGTCTCACCTTAAACCCCTCCAAATGCCAAACAGTTCATTTCATCTTTAGGCACAAATCTGACCTAAACAAACTGGTTAGCACTCACGAGGTGTACAACCTGCCAGATGGCACTGAAACTGAAACCAAGTCAGAAATAAAATACCTAGGCATCATTCTATCTGCTGATCTTTCCTGGTCGTCTCATATCTTGATGATTTCTAAGAAAATATTCCGTTTTTACCTTCTACATCAAGGAGTCAAGACATTCTGGTATAAACCAACCCTTACTCCTACGATTCGTTAACTCTTGCATTCTGCCTATTATTTTTTATTGTTCCCCCTTAGTTTTTCCTGGGCTGGCTACTGAAGAAAGACTATACCTTATTACGCAGGATGTTAAAGGCTGTCAGCAGGGTAAGCAACGTGCCGTTTAACTAGCTTGTTAATATTCTGGTTGACAGGCACATGGACTCAAGTGAAAAGTGGGTTAAATCCATTTTATCTAAGTCACACCACCCTCTTCATTCACAACTCTCCTCTTGTATCTCAGGCAAAACCAGAAGCCTATATAGAAAACTATATGCTCGTACTAGCAAGTACAAAAACTCAAACATACCCTACTTAGGTCGTGTTATGTGCGATAAAGAAAGCATTAGGAGTGATACCTATAACTTATTAAATAGTCAGTAGAACAACTGGATCTCGTCTTTCCAATTCATATCATCTATAGGTACGTTTTTCTTTCTTTCTTTCTTTTCCTTTTCTCTCTCCTTTTTCTGTTGTGTGCAGCTTTGTTTCTTTCTTCTGCTTACACCAGTAAATATGCTAGAATCTACTTTTCTAGCACCTTCAAACACGGTTTAATTTTGGCTTTGCTACCGACATGCTAATATGTTGTTGTCAAAACTAATTGAGATTACCCTTAATCTATGTAGAATTTTATTTTATTGTTAATTTACTAACTGGACGCAATACTGTAGTAAAATTATGAGAATTCCATTCTGTATCGCAAGTACTGTTTTGGAATAAGGCTATTATTATTATCATATTGTGGTGAGAGCTGTCTGCTAGCCAAGAATTGGTAGACAGTAATTTACATCAATGTTTACGTGTAGTCCCGACGTTCTGGAAAGAGAATTAGATATTCTGAAAGAGAAATCTTTATCCAAATTGGATACCCAATTAAGATTCATCGACAAAAATATCAAGCTAAGAATTCGGAGAAACGAAACTTTAATTGCGCCTAAAAAGAAACTCTACATGAATTTGGATTTCAAGGGGGATTTAGCAAGCGATATCCTAAAGAAAAGGATCACATCATACAAAATACAAACGCAATTTGATAAAGTGCTTCGTTCACAGAGCAAGAGCAGTCTGTTCGGATGAATATCTTGATGAGGAACTTAATAATATTAAACAGTTGCTGAGTGAAAACGGTTATCCAGAAAAGTTTATTGATAAGAATATGAATCTAAAACCAAAGCAGCCCAAGATGCCAACAGTTCCTAAGAAGGCCTTATTCTTACAAATGTAGTTCCTTGGGGAAAACAGCGAGATACTAACACAGCGCCATAGAAATGCGGTAAAAAGAGTATTCCCTGCTGCTGAATTACTCTGTGTCTTCAAGATCACTCCTCTTTTGCGTTCGTGAGTAAAAGACAGACCGCCCAATTTCGCCTCCTCTTTGTGTATCTACTGATTTAATTGCTCTTGTGGAGCCAGTTATATAGGCCGTACAATTAGGCGTGTTTGTTGTCGGATTTCCGAACATCACCTTGGGTGGTTAAGTAAGTAAAGGAGAAACTAAATCTATTCGTAGTGTTATTCTCTCTCATCTTGTAGATACAGAACACAAGATTAATGTCAACGAGGCAGGCGGCTTTCAATGTCATTTACCGCATACCAACCAACAAATCTTAATTTCGCTTTAAGAGTTCGGTTACTGCTAAATATTGCTGAGGCTGGCTGTTAAGATCCACATTAAGAAGCCTAATTTGTGCGTCCAATAGAAGCTAATTCAGACATTATCCTTACTCCACTGGCCATCTAGGTTTGAGTGATGCTCAATTTTTGTGGAATTTTCCTAATTTTAGTTGATATTTTATTCGCTATTATATTTTTATCATTATTATTATTAATATTATTATTATTTAATTATTCATAATTTAATAATGAACTGTAATCCCATTGTGCTTTTAATTAACAAATCGGTATTATTTAAAAAAAACACTAATATTGTTATTGACTACTATTCTAGAATATTCTCTGTATCTAAACATGCATATATAATTGTAGAGCCAGAAGAGTATATTGTCGGAAAGGACATTCATTGCTCAATTAATTTGTGTTTCTGATCCATACAGAAGAAACTTAGCGTGTCACGAGAAATAGACATTGATGACTGGAGAAATTTTAGTCACAATGGAACTGTCAACAACTGTCTGCTTCCACTCAATCAACAATACTAAAGATCAAATGATCTGTCAGGAAAGATAAGCAACAAGGCACTAAGCCAATGAAATGAAACAGTCAACAATCTTTTATCAACGACAACGAATACGCTGAAAGAAATGGAGACGGATTGGATATTCATTCAGAGAGACCTTCGAGTAATATCACACGGAACTCCTTAGAGTGGAACTCTACTGGGGAGCAATAGCCTGGCTGTCCGAGAGTGACATAGAGAACTACATATGATTATTATTATTATTGTATCCTTTAATTCCTAGAGGAACATAGAGCTTCAGCTACGCATCTCCATTGCCTTCTGTTTTCTGACAACTTTTTCAACCCGCTCCAAGTCTGCCCACATGCTTTCATCTCCTCCTCACATGACCTCCTCCAAGTCACCCTTGCACTGACGACCAACTCGCCGCTTCCCTTTCGGGTTCCACTCGAGCGATGGCCCGTCTAGTGATGTCACTGGATGGTTTCCTAAGCGTATGGCCAATCTACCCAACTCCATTTCTTCCTGCCTATTTGTTTTACAATCGGTTCCTGCTGAGTTGCTTCGCTCCCAGAGATCTCTTCATGTTGCTGATCTTTTCTGGCCGGCTATCTGATCTTGAGTATTGAGCGAAGACAACTGTTAGTGAAGGTCTGAAGTTTGTTTGAGATGCTCTTTATGACGCTCTGGCCAAGTCTCTGATCCGTATAGTAGCACTGACTGACTTCACATTGGAGTTGAAAATCCGGATGTTATTTTTGATGCTGAGTGCTGTTGATATCCACACAGATTTGAGAGTAATGAAAGCTTGTCTTCCTTTTCCGATTCTGGCTTTGATGTCCTCGTCAGTTCCGCCTGTAGTTGAGACGATGCTTCCCCGGTAGGTGAAGGAGGTTGTTTCTTTCAGGTTCTTCCCACTTATGCTGATTGTTGTCTGTTGTTGTTGTTGCTGTTGATGTTGGCTAGAAATCTTTATCATCTCTGTTTTATCTATGTTCACTTGAAGTCCTATCATCTCTGGATGCTTCTTCTGCCAACTTGTCGCTTTTCACTTGCATATCTTCCAGTTTGTGGGAAATCAGACATATGAAGAGGAAATGAAGTCTTGTGAACAGTCATCCAGCTACCTGAAAGTAATGGTAAAGAATCACACGGAATGGAGGTGTGCCGCTGGGGATCTACATTCCACTCAAAACAGAGAGAATGAACAATAACACCTCAATATATGATAATGTGAGCAATAAATTGTGTTCAAAACGTCATCTAGTAAACAGAAATGCTCTGTGGGAAAGATAATAACTGCGGCTTAGTGGATTTAAGAGATCCCAATGAATGAGAACGACTTTTCAGTTGTTTCGTCAACAGTCTGAAGCCACTGGTTTCTTAGAAATCTCAGTCATCCCAACCCACCCAGTCTACTGCATCTGTCTCTATGTGCCTCAAATCAATTGTCAAAGATATAATGGATGTTTTAATCGGCAGATTTTCGTCACGACCTGACGTCAGTTACAAAGAGATTATGTCAAGGTGAAATTGGATGATCATTGAAGAAGGCATTGGTGGGGGGCATCGTTATATACAGCTACACACGAGCTAACATAGTTAGAATTCAGGCGTCATTCTGGAATTTCGACCCAAGCGGCTGAATGAATGGTCAACGGTAACTTCCTCTCGAAATCTGAGGTTCCTAGTCCGATCCCTGCCAGGTTCAGGAGATGAAGTAGATGTCCATGGCTCCCTATTGGCTTTCAACGACCTCTCTCTAACTGATGCCGGTTCATGAGGAAAATTTAACCATTAAAATCAATCCAGGTTTTGAAAAGTTCACCAATAACTTTTTTGATCTAATCCTATGTCATCTAACATTGATTGATGAGGAGAAGGCGATGACTTGGCATAAGTAACACACACGTGTCTTAACCCAATTGATCGATGCAAATCCACAATAAATTCAGTACTAGCCAGGATAAATATGGAAAGTAATTCACGCTCAACATCATATTTTAAATTTCTTCGAATGTGGTGTAATCCTGAAGGAACTCACTCATGTCCCTCTAAAGACTGGAATCCTCACCTCACCCGGTGCTGCACTCAGAGGCGTTACCGCCACTGAGCTATTCACGGTCGCGATTCACCCACTGTAGGATTCTAGTGGATACTTTGATTGGACACTAGGAGGTAATAACTAATTCCATGCACTTGTAAACCCACACTGTCGACTAATGAACGTGAATACTGCACAGCACTTCACGTTGTCCTTCTTTATCACTGTGAGTGAAACATAGCCTTTGAAAGTAGGTGACATGAAAGGGCCAGCTAGCTGTCTTCGATCATATGTATCTGTGCTCTACCTCCCGTGTTAGATAGTACAATGGGTTGAGTAGTGTTGAGGTTAGGCATCAGTTGAGTGTTCGTTAAGAAGGAGAAATCCATCGACAAGGATGGTTAGGACATGTGTTACGCATGCATTCCTAGCCATCCCGCTGTCCTTGACGGGAAATGTTAGCTGACTGAAATAGGATCAGGCTGGAAAAAACCTAGTGATGGTCAAACTAAAGCATGGCTGGCTCAAAAATCGTTCTCGGTAATGGCTGGTGCAGATGCATTCACTCTAATCTCATTTCATGCTACTATTCTTTTCTCCTCACCCACACTTCTGTGTATTACCTTTGTCTTTATTCTGTCTTGCTTTGTTTGCTACATGGAGAGAGAGTGTGTGTTGGACATCTGTGCAAAGTTTTATGTTGAAGCCAGTCAGTCAGTGTGTGGTTACACATACATAAGAAGGAGTAATCGTGCTTTGCACATGACGATTGCACAATAGATATCCCTGAACAGTTAAAACGCAGTTGGCAGCTATCAGCTTCGTCAATACCTATAAAAACTTAACTAAGATGACTAAGTACTAACACTACTTCAGAGACTCAGGGATTGACTTGCTACAACCAGGGAATAATCTCGTTGACTTAGAATATGCAGACGATACAGTCCCTCTAGGCGAGGAAGCTGACAAAATCCAGCAGAGACTTCTGAACACCTTAAGGTGCAATCTACGAATGTTCGGCATGCGATTCACTACCGCCAAATTTTTTTTTTATTTACAGCTTGATTCCACACTGTACTTTTAGTACAAGTATGGAATTTTCAGCATGGATATCGGTAGCCCAAATTTTGCAGGCCGACCATAGATATCAGGTGTGTGTCGGCAGATGTTACAGGATTGGACTACACTGACTCCTAGTTTAGAAATAGGGAGTGAAGTGGTAGAGCACGTTGACCACTTCACTTATTTAGGAAGTACCATCAGCCAGCGCCAACGGGTTGATCTCTGACGAAATCTCAGCACGCATACAGAGGGCTAGTTTCGCATATGCCAGTTTACGCCGTCTCTGGCCTAGTAGACGTGATATCCGGCTGACTGTCGATCAAAGGACGTGTGTGCTGCTCAGAAGTCCGCCCCGTCCTCCTTTATGGCTGGCTGTGAAACCTGGCCATTGAGAGTGGAAGACATAAAAAGATCAGCTAGCTGTCTTTGATCATAGGTGCCTGCACTCTATCTCCCGTGTGAAGTGGTATCATGAGGTGAGTAATATTGAAGTTAGGCATTGGTCGAGTTCTAGGTAAACAGGGTAAATCAATTGACGAGGTTGTGAAGCAAATACATCGACTGATATGGTTAGGCCATGTGTTACGCATGCATCCCTAACCATCGCCTTCCTCGACAACGGGTAATGTTAGCTGACATAGGGTCAGGCTGGAAAAGAGCTAGTACGTGATGGTCAAACCAAAACATAGATTCATCAGTCAATCAAATCCACAACAGTTAATTTAAGCCAGCCAAGTAGGAAGGTGTAGACTGCTGTCTGGTTGGGGTCCTCGGGACGGTAAAAACCAATGGGGGCCTGATACAATCGGTGATATGGCTAAAAATCGTTCTCAATGGCTGACGCAGATCCATCCACTCCTTGTGACTTATAATATCCAATGAAACTATATTGTTCTTCGTTATTACGATTCCTTTTGTCTCATATCCCTGTATACTGTCTCTATTTTGCATTTCTACTTTCTTCTGTTGCTTTGTGTGCTACATGGAGGGAGTGTGGTGACTTGAACTTCTGCACATCGGTGTCAAGTTCTATGTCGAAAACAGACAGACAGATAGACAGACAGAAGTACTAACAGTAATAATAATGATAATCTAACTTACTAAAGATTGAGCAGCAGATTGATGATGAGGAGTAGGCAACTGTGGCAGAATATCAATTCCACTTGCTGTCGTTGTTGTTGTTGTCGGTGGTGGTGAAGTCGTTCCAACACCACTAGATCCAATCAAAAATCTTGGAAGTTGTTTCAATAAACTTAATTGTTGATCACAAAGATTTAAGGAGGAATTTATAAACTCTGAACTACTGGTAGTAGTATTGTTATTATTGTATTGATGATGACTTGTTGAGAAGGGTGTAGGAATCGATTGAGTAACTTGGTTATTATTATTATTATTAAATGATTTATCTGTTACACTGGTCTGATTGACAACGTCTACAGGATGAAAGTGTGCTGCTGTCGATGATGAAGAAGAGGTGAGGATAACAGGTGAATTAGGATGATTGGTACAATTTAAAGGAAGTGAATTGTTCGCAGAAGCAGTAGGATAGACTGGAACGTTGGATGCTGTACGCGAATGTTGTAAGAGTAGGGCGGCTACAGCTGCCTGACTAATAGAAGATAATAAATTCGACTGAAAAAGCGGAGTAGTTGATGGACAACACGATGAATTCACCTGACCACTACTTCCACTGGATACAAGACCAAGAAAAGAGTAGAGAGCAGAGGCTGCACTAGGATTCGATGATATAAACCGATCGATAGCACCGCCACCAACAATACCACCACTCAATTCAGATGATGATAATAAGGCGGTATTATCTGAACTTGAACAAGTGGTACTCCTTGAATACTTTGTACCTTCAATGGAAGGTGTTTGACAATTCGATGCTGAATAATTGTTGTTAAGCGGTGTAGACAAAAAGTTTCGTGTTATATTTGAATTAGATAAATCCAAATTGTTAACAGAACTTGTAGCGGGTGAAGAGAATGAAATCCGATTGGTTGAAGTTTCGTTTGTACTACGATTATGATGTTGATGGTGTTGTTGTTGTTGTTGTTGGGTATATGTACTGTCTACAATCGATCTCAACTGTTCACAATCTGAAAGTCCGTTGAGATTTCGATCTGAAGTGTTATGCAGAAGAGATCTAGCCGATTCTTCGTTTAAAAATGTTCGACGATCAAATTCAACAGATGATTGAGATGCAGGCTAATAATCATGAGAGAAAATAAAACAACCAAATAAATATTTTAAATGTAAAAGAATAAAACGCGTAGTTCGGTAGCGAAGAGGTCCTTTTCGGAGAATTCATTCTCCTCTCAAATATGGCTGTACAATCACACTTTTTATATACACAATCTCTTTTTCATAAAACAGAATAGTAGTAGCAAAACTGATGAGTAGTCACAATCATAGCTGTTATATATTAATCGATGCATAAATGGAATTGAACAAGTGCATTAGAGTTACTTAATTAGATGTTTTAAAAAATTAGTTCCTTTTAGACAAATTTAGACAAAGCAATAAGAAGGAAGACGTAATTTATCTAAATCGTGTATTGTGTATTTGCAAGTGTAACACGCATTTCGAACAATCTGATCCATCATACACGGACTTGTCATAGATATATGAGTTTGAGAAATCGTGACCAGTAAAGGTTCATCCAGTCAAGTGTGAAGATGGATTTCCCACCGATAACATCAGTTGGGGTGGCGCCAAATGCACCACAAATTGGTAGAAGTTAGAATTCATGGGCTGGCCACTGAATAGGGTCTCAGTGGTTGAATGGCATACGAGTTTGCCTTGTAACCGGAAGTCTGTCTGTCTGTCTGTTTTCGACATAGAACTATACACAAATGTGCGGAAGTTCAAGTCGCCACACTCCGTGTAGCACGCGAAACAGGAGAAGAAAGTACAAGAAAAGCATAATAGAAACAGTGAGCAGATGTGTGAGACAAAGGAGGAGTAATAAAGAAAAACAAAACAGTTTCATTGGAGATCATAAGTCACAAGGAGTGGATGCATCTGCGCCACTGAGAACGATTTTGAGTCAGCCATATCACCAATTGTTTCCAACCATAGATTTTTACCGTCCCGAGGACCCCAGCCTGGAAGTCTACACCTTTCTACGTGGCTTAGACCAACTGTTGTGGATTTCATTGACTGATGCCAAGGTTTTGTTTGACCGCCGCTAGCTTTTTTCCAGCCTGACCCTATATCCGCTAACATAGCTCGTCGAGGAAGGTGATGGCTTGGCATACGTAACACATGTCCTGACCATCTCAGTCTTTGTAACTTCACGACTTCGTCGATTGATTTCCCCTGTTTACCTAGAACTCGACCAATGCCTAACTTCAATGTTGCTCACCTTATTATACCACTTCACACGGGAAATAGAGCGCAGGCACCTATGATCAAAGACAGCTAGCTGATCTTTTTATGTCTTCCACTCTCAGTGGCCAGGTCTCACAGCCAGCCATAAAGGAGGACGGGGCGGACTTCTGAGCAGCACACACGCCCTTTGGTCGATAGTCGGACATCTCGTCTGCGCCAGAGTCGGCGTAAACTGGCAAATGCGAAACGAGCCCCGTGTATTCGTGCTGAGATTTCGTCAGAGATCAACCCGTTGGCACTGGCTGATGGTACTTCCCAAATAAGTGAAGCGGTCAACGTGCTCTACCACCGGAAGGTCATATATATATATATATATATATATATGAAATTAACAAAAAGCTAAGAGGGGAGAGAATAAACTACTTAAGTGAATTTAAAAGAACATATCGAAGGTCAAAATAACAATGAAGATCACTAAACCAAATAACAGAGGTAATAGTACATCTACCTTGGCTGGTATCAAAACAAAGTTTACCAAGGGAGATAATTTAGTGTGATGACGAATCGTTTTTGATGAACGCACTAAGGTGGTTCAAACTTCCTAATCGCCAGCTAAGGCTTCTACAAACTTTAGGATACACCTTTCCCCAAACACGTTTTACAGATATGTTTAAAAGACGTGTGTAAACATCAATCTTATATCCCCTATCTCTATGATATGTTTAGCAATAGAGGAGCTGGGTCTCCTGTTCTCACCATTAATGGGTTCTGAAGATTCTTTTTTGCTTCTGGAGCCATTCAGGAATATGCTCCGAAGCTAACCCTTACTTGCAGAGATCGATGAGTCCTCCCTATGTACGTGTGTCCACACGTGGATTCGAATTGGTAAATACATTGAGATGTGACACCATTTTTCGCATGTTTTAAGGGCTTAGATTGATATATTGGCTTCACATTCTCAATTATTATGATATGAGCCGCAGCAGTGTCCAGTCTCTGTCTACTTATCAAACTGCTATGATGCCCTATATACGGTAGCCTGATGTACACGTCTTTCTAAGGGACGAGTTGGAGAGTGGGTCTTGGTGTTCCACTGACTACTTTATATCTCCTGATGAACTTGTCTGAATAATTGTTACCAACCAGAGTTTATGTCTTCAGTGCATATTCATTGGATTCTACTGAAGAGACACCTTACTAAGACTCTTTTGTAGAGAACAGGGCAGAAACTGATACTGTCATGTCTAGATAGGTTTTCTATAAATAGGTCGTTTTATTGACCCATCAAACCGTCAGTTGACTAAGCAATATGTAATCTAGGAAAGATGAACAATTATCTTCCTCTTCTACAGATATGCTACTCTGAACTTCATTTATTCGATTTAAAATTGAGGTAGCAGAACAAGGCTTATCACTTATGATTACAATGTCTTCGACATACCTTCAGAGAGAGAGAAAAATCGGAGCTACGCATACTAAAGAAAATTACTTAACCAATTCTACTATCATGGTTACAACCTTGGTGACTTTTACGGACTCGATTTTTGTTTCTTTGTTTTTCTAACTCCTTATAATCCTTGTATTTCTGTAGAACTCTTACACATAACTCCATCTTGATTACAACTCACTCATTAAATGACTCACCTTATTACGTAACTCTCATACAACACTCTTCTGTTCAAATATTCTTACGTATTGGCGAATACTAATACAACTATGACTGGGGACATTTTTAGGACTAGACACATTACACTAATCAAAAAATATCCAATACAGTCCTACAGGAGATCAATCGCGAGTCCAAATAGTTCAGACACACTGGGTGACGCCTCTTCCGATCTCAGATGGAACATTAGTTCCCTCAAGGTTCTAAATACGCCGCCTTACTGACTGGTGAGTACCAACTAGCACGAAACTTAGGTCCAGAGGCAAGGCGGCTTCTTGCCGATTGCCTACAACCACCGAAAATACTAACAATGATTGTGACAACTCATCCCTTTCGTTACTACCCTCTTTCATGAAAAAAAAAGGATTGTAGTATATACCAGCGATTGTACAGCTATTAAAGAGGAAAATGAATTCGTCGAAAACAACCTCTTCGACGATGAACTACGTGTTTTTTGTCTGGATTGTAAATTGTTCATGAATTTTAAAATATAACTCAAAATGACAAAACAAAAAAAAGTGGTTTTAATCAATATCTTCCCCTTTGACTATCAAGTGGAACATAGGGGGTTTCAAATTTGGAGCTTTTTGAAGTTTCGGTAGCAGTGGTGAGGTTGCTAGTCTCGTAAACCGTCCAACCTTCACTTTTTTCACCAGACTTACTAGCAGGCTAAGTGGCAATGGGTTTAGGATTGCGTCAACAGCCAGGGAGTGAACCTCAAATTATTCTACTGTAAAAAAGAATTACTAACCAATAAAAGCCTACTGGGAGGGGAGGATGGGTTGGGTGTGCGCCTACACACACGCACACACATATACACACACACTTGTATGAGTTTCCGCATACTTACAGAATCAATTGGAAAATTTGTAAGCATATTAACATCATTCATAAATTCTGTAGGGCATAAACAATCATGATTAAATGATAATAATCGATTAGTTGAACTATCATTTGTACAACTTTGTATATGATCATTACTCATAATATTATCGGTAGAATGTACTTTTAAATAATTATTATTATTTGTTAACGATGAAAGGCATGCATGATTCATACTTATTGTCTGAGAGAGATTATTCAACTTTAATTTGGATAGATTACAATTATTCATTACAGTTGTAGAAATAGGAGTAGGAGTTGTAGAAGTAGAAGTAGGCGCCGCCGCCGCCGTCGTCAGTATAGAAGAATCATCTAGAATATCCGAATGTAATAATAAAGGATTCCCAGATATACCGGTAGCATTATTTGTAGATGTTATGAAAGACGATGTAGATGTCATGTTTATTGCTGCTTCTTGCTCAGAGGATAATGACGACGATTGTTGGTGCTGTTGTTGTTGTTGTAATGACCCAGTAAATGCATTATTTGTAGTCCATGAACGCATTGGAACTTGTGTAGGCAAACCGGCAGCATTATGCCAAGGACTTTCAATACGACCAATTTTACACGGAGTATTAAAACACTTGGTCATATTCGATATACTATTGTTGTTATTATTATTACTATTATATAAATTGCTTTGATTCGGTGTATTTTGACCAAAACGTTGATTCATTGATGAGAAACACATATCAGATGAACAAGAATCTACACCAGCTCGATCACATGATATTAACGAACGTATACAATTCATATCACAGGCGCTTGCAGAAGATACACCTCTGATAGTATTTTCTAAAGGAAAGGATAAATTCTCTGCCTGATTTATACCTCTTCCAGATAATTTTGTTTGTTGTCTATTAGGATGATGATGATGATGATGTGGATGATCCACATTTCTTGTTCTACCAATATTAACTTTCCGATTTATTCCACAGGAGAGTTTTGTTGGCAAAGGAGGAGTTATCATCGAGGCGGTATTTGTCTGATCGTCAACTGGTGAACTAGCACGTTTACATGATGCTGATGGCGTAGATGACGTTTGACGTGATGAATTCGTCGAGGTAGTATTACCACTACCACTACCATTATTTGTTGAACCTGACAGCGTTTGATGATAAGATTTAAAACGTAAATTTGGTAGAATAATCCCATTTTTACGCACATAATCGCACAGAGATGATTTGGCTAAATTATACTTTTGTGCAGCACGACGCATAGATATCTGTGAGCCTAAGACATCATTGACAGCTAACTCGAGCAGTTCTCGTCGTTCTGCAGGTTTATGACGAGGACGTCGAACAGTTGTAGTAGTAGTTGTCGTGGTGGTGGTGGTCGTCGTCGTGCTGGTTGTATTAGTAGTAATGGATGAGACATTTGTTGTAGGATTTGAGGTACTGGTGTTAATTGTAGTCATACAAGTGAACTGACTGTCAACGAATAATCCAATCGTTGTACTGGGTGACAAATGTGTAGGGATATTTGCGTCTGATAATCGTTCTATTGCACATATTTTAGGCAGTTGAGAAGGTTCAATAGTCGGTGGCGATGACAATGGTGATGTAATGATGAAAGATTCTTGAGTAGTAGTGGTGGTAGCAGCATTCGTAGGAGGCGTGGGAGGAGTGGGAATCACTTCAGCTGTTATAGTATCCTGTTCAAAATATTGATTTGGTAGACTATCATTACATTTTGTTTGTTCTTCAGTTACTACTGGGGTGCAAACACCTCCAATTGAATCGATAGCTTCAAAACGTGGTATAATACTTTGAGCATCAGAACAAAGTGGAGTTTCACGATTAGTATCTGTAGATTGTGATTGTGACATGTGCGCGGTTTATGATATTTTATTCATATTGTATAAATAAATCCTGATACAGTTAACCAACTCTCTCTCTCACAGTGAATATTGTGTGTAATATATATGCATACATGTACTTTCCGCTCACTCGTCAAATAATCGATTGATTCAATAATCCGCAGGAGAACACACAAACAAACGGGGGCTACTTATAACGCGAAATTATCATTTTGAGGATACCACCAAAATAACGGATCATCAAGTTGGAAAAAAATCAATTGGTTTCTCTTTTTTTCAGTAAATATACCATATAGGCTGATGATGATGCTGATAATGATAACGTGCCGCAATCAACAACATGAACGAACTGTATACACAATACACGAAATAACAATTTTTGATCTAGAGAATTTTATGAGAGCGCGCACACACAAGGTTATTATTTTGTGCGCTCATCTGCCTGTATGCCAATCGGTGTGTGTGTGTGTGTTTATGTGAGTGCTTGCGTGCCAGAGTCTATCTATTACGCTCGGGTGAATTTGCTCATCATCACAGAAGACACTTATTATTGAGCAATTATGATGCGCTATTGGTTGTGTTTGTGTGTGGGTGTTTGTGTGCTATTGTGGACACACAAATACACAAACAAATATACGCACACATGCACGTACACACGCGCACTAGTTGTCCATCAAGAAAAATTTACTGGCCACCCCAACAACAAAAATCTTCATCAACACATTGTGCAGTCACTTCACTCATAGAGATGCACAATCAGACACACACGCGCACGCACAATGGCACAACACAGAGCACTAACACCACCACATGAAGAGCAGTGTAACTTAACCATTTAAGTAATTGCTTTTTCTTATAAATAAAAAAACACATACTCAAAAGAATTGAAGACCAACAGACGGATAGACAAGTCAACAATTATTGGATTGAAATAAGACTCAAAACCAGATAGCATTATGAATGCGATGTATATATATATTTTCCTGATGTATATATTATGTATATATATATATATATATATATATATATATATATATATATATATATATATATATATATATATAAACATAAACGCGTACTGTCGAACAAACCAATGAGAAGTGAAGAGGGAATAATAATAATAATAATAATAATAATAACTTTTGTTATCTACCATAATGAAAAGCCATTGACTGGACTGATTGACTGACCCTATGAGGTGAAGATATATTGTAGTATACTCATCAAATTTACTCTTGTCAAGTATCCTTTTCTGTAGTAATCAAAATATAAGTATAGAAAATTTGGGCACTGTGGTGATAAAATGATGAAATAAAATAAAACTTTGAGTGAAGTGAGCTACATAGGTCAAACGAGAAGATCGGGAGTAGTCAGATTATCAGAACATGAGAATTTAGCTAAGGTAAGAATGGTTGACTGAACTCACGAAGATAAGAAAAGCAAGTATTGAATTTCATGGATTTCATGGATTGATAACATGTTTTTGTTTGGCCACCACAGAGGGATTAGCCTGACTAATATAGTATCTAAAGTCCTAGGCTCAATAATCATGCGTAGACTGAGTGGTGCTTGGGAGGCACAAACACGAGAAAACCAGGAAGGCAGGATTTAGACCAGGAACAGGGTGTATTGATCATATCTTCACCCTTCGACAGATTCTAGAACATAGGGATTCTTACCGGCGTCCATCAATCATTATATTTCTCGACCTAAAGGTGGCATTCGATTCTGTCGACCGAGAGATACTCTGGCGATGCTTGGCTATAAAGGGAATGTAGAGAAAATACATTGCACTGATTAAGGCACTCTACTCGAACTCATACACTAAGCCAGGTGAGAGGTTAAGGCGAGTTTTCATCTGAAGTGGTGACGACTAGTGATGTCTGTCAGGGATGTCCATTATCCCCATTTCTATTCAATTTCATCATAGATGTACTAATGGACTTAACCCTAACTCACTTCAGAGACTCAGGAATTGACTTGCTACCAGGGAATAATCTCGTTGACTTGGAATATGCAGACGATATAGTCCTTCTAGGCGAAGACACTGACAAAATGCAAAGTCTTCTAAACACCTTGAGCAGAAATCTACGAATGTTTGGCATGCGATTCGCTCCCGCCAAATGCAAGATGATGTTACAGGACTGGACTACACTGACTCCTAGTTTAGCAAAAGGGAGTGAAGTGGTAGAGCTGGTTGACCGCTTCACTTACTTGAGAAGTACCATTAGCCCTAACTAGTTCATCTCTGACGAAATCTCAGCACGGATACAGAGGGCTAGTTTCGCATATGCCAGTCTACGCCGTCTCTGGCGTAGACGAGATATCCGGCTAGATATCGATCAAATGGCGGGTGTACTGCTCATCAGTCCGCTCCATCCTCATTTATGCAAGTGAGTGAGACATGGCCATTGAGTGGAAGACATGAAAAGATTAGCTGTCTTTGATCATAGGTGCCTGCGCTCTATCTCTCGTGTGAAGTGGTATAATAAGGTGAGCAATATTGAGGTTAGACATTGGTCGAGTGCCAGGTAGGTGGGAGGGGAAATCAATCGGCGACGCTGTGATGGTTAGGACATGTGTTACGTATGCCTAGTTGTCGCCTTCCTCGACTGGAGATGTTAGCTGACATAGGGTCAGGCTGGAAAAAAGCTAGAGGAGGTCAAACAAAAACATGGCTTCATCAGTCAATGAAATCCACAACAGTTAGTTTAAGCCGGTCAGCCACGTTGGAAGGTGTAGACTTCCTGGTTGGGGTCCTTGGGACGGTAAAAACCAATGGTCGGAAACAATTGGTGATATGTCTGACTCAAAATCGTTCTCGATGGCTAGTGCAGATCCTAGTGCAGATGGCTAGTGCAGATTCTCAGGATAGACGCCTTGAACGCTGGAAAGAACACTTTGAGGAACAATTTAACTTGCCTACAGCCACACTGAACCTCCCCGCCATCCACCACGTACCCGAATGGGATATAGACACTGGTCCGCCGTCTGTAGGTGAGGTTACAAAAGCTATCAGTAATTTGAAACGAGGCAAAGCGGCAGGACCCGACGGAATTATTCCGGAGGTGTTTAAATATGGGGGTGACATACTAGTTTGTAGATTAACTGAGGTACTAGGCAAAGTCTGGGAATCAGAGACAGTACCATCAGACTGGGGTAAGTCACTTATTATACCGATATTCAAGAAGGGAAACAAGTCCTCGTGTGATAATCATAGGGGGATCAGCCTAACGAACATAGTCTCTAAAATCCTAGGCTCAGTAATCATGCATAGACTAAGCAGAACTCGGGAGGAACAGACAAGGGAAAATCAAGCAGGCTTTAGACCAGGTAGAGGGTGCATAGATCATATCTTCACTCTTCGACAGATTCTAGAACATAGACACACTTTTCGGCGTCCAACAATTGTCATATTTCTTGACTTGAAGGCGGCCTTCGACTCCGTGGATCGAAAGGTACTATGGCAATGTCTGACTGTGAAGGGAGTGCCAAGAAAGTACATTGCACTAATCAAGGCACTCTATTCAAACTCACGTAGTCGTGTAAGGGCTTATGGGGAATTGTCATCTGAATTGGTAACAACCAGTGGTGTCCGACAGGGATGTCCACTTTCCCCATTTCTGTTTAACTTCATCATAGATATGCTAATGGAAGTATCCTTAACTGAACGTAGTGACTTAGGAATCGACTTGTTACCAGGGAATAATCTTATGGACTTAGAATATGCAGATGACATAGTCCTGTTAGGGGAGGATGCTGACAAAATGCAGAGTCTTCTGAACACCTTGAGCAGCAATCTTCGTATGTTTGGCATGCGATTCGCCCCTGCAAAATGTAAGATGCTGCTACAGGACTGGACCCCGTCAACCCCTAACTTAGTGATAGGGAGTGAAGTGATAGAACATGTTGACCACTTCACCTACTTGGGAAGTTGTATTAGCACCAACGGACTGATTGGCGATGAAATCTCAGCACGGATCCGAAAAGCTCGAGCTGCTTTCGCTGACTTACACCATCTCTGGCGTAGGCGTGACATCCGGTTATCAACCAAGGGACGTGTGTACTGCTCATCAGTTCGCTCCGTCCTTCTCTATGGCTCTGAAACATGGCCAATACGCGTTGAAGACATGAAAAGGTTGACTGCTTTCGATCATAGATGTCTGCGATCTCTGTCTCACGTTAGGTGGTTTCACAAGATAAGTAATGTTGACGTTAGGCGTAGAGTGTTGGGCAAAGAGGGAAAATCAATCGACGAGGCTATAAAGTTACATAGACTAAGATGGCTAGGTCACGTGGTGCGCATGCCTAACCACCGCCTCCCCCGACGGGCATTGCTAGCTGATATAGGTTCAGGTTGGAAAAGAGCCAGTGGTGGCCAAACAAAAACATGGCATCAATCCATGAAATCCTTGACAGTTAAACTGAGTCAGGTAGGGAGATGCAGACTCCCGGGTTGGGGCCCTCGGGACTCTAGGAATCAATGGCTGGAGACAATAGGTGACATGGCTCAAAATCGTTGTCAATGGCGCAGATGTATTCAGTCTCTGTAATCTTTCATATTCCTTTCTACCATTACCCATTCTGTTTCACTCTTATATTAGTCAAACTCTATTGATTCTCTTCACTCATCTTGTGCGTCGGTGGCACAGTGGTTAGGACTCTCGCCAACCATGCACATGGTCCGGGGTTCGAGCCCACGCCGACGTCGGCCTGCGAATTTTGGGCTACCGATATCCACGCTGAAAATTCCATACTTGTACCAAAAATACAGTGTGGAATCAAGCTGTAATCAAAAATAAAAAATAAATAAATAAATAAAATACCTTGTGTGCCAATTGGAACGTGGCAACTCGAACTGCTGCACTTCGGTGCCAAGTTCTATGTTGAATCCAGACAGACAGTGCAGATCCATCCACCCTTTGTGACTCATGACTTCCAATGAAACTAAATTTTTCTCCATTATTACTATTCTTTTGTCTCAAACGTCTGTTCACTGTCTCTATTATGCATTCTTCTGCTTTCTTCTCTTGCTTTGTGTGCTACTAGGAGTGGAGTTTGGCGAGTTGAACTGCCGCACACATGTGCAAAGTTCTATGTCGAAAACAGACAGATTCTTTTCCAGCCTACACCTATATCAGCTAGCAATGCCCGTCGGGGGATGCGATGGTTAGGCATGCGCAGCACGCGACCTAGCCATCTCAATCTATGTAACTTTATAGCCTCATCAATTGATTCCATAACACGTAAAAGTCGAATAGCTTTCAGCTGCACTAAAGCATGATCTTTAGTGAGTCATTCAAACCTAACACACACACACCTCTTCAGAATAAACAACTGCAACCACAAGTCTATTTATAATCACGTATTTTCACAAAGTTCATTCATTAGAAACTACGGTATGGCTGAAAATTTCCAGAACTAGAGACAAGATGACCTTCATCAGAAAATCAGTGTTGGACTCAGATGGACGAAATAGCGATACGGTATCGTTGGGAGGGTCAGTAGAAGACTGCCGCTCTTTTTGGAGCACGTGGGTAGACTCCGATCACGCTCTGGTCCGCGCACGTTTATGTTTACGATTAAACGGATATAAAAAAATTGCTGGTAGCGAAGCAGTTACGTCCATAACTAGATCAAGACTCTGAATCCCCATTTAACGGAGAAAGAGCGAAACGAGTATCTGAGGTCGACAGCAGGACTCACCCTGGGGTAGCCTGGCAAAACATACAAATAGCTGTAGACACAGCTGTAAAAACTCTTAGTAACCTGAAACCT